CAGTTCACAATATTATTTTCAATCAATTTTTCCAACAATTTTTAACCAATACAACTGATCGAGTGTCAAAAAATATTTTAAATATAAAATGCAAATGGGTGAATCCCACGAAATGTCCCCCATGGTATTTAATAAAAATGAGTTTGACCTACACTTTTATTGTGTTTTGATCTTTCATAATTAAGTAGATATTACAGCTCAGGTTCCACATTTTTAACCGCAATTAATTATTTTTTACAATGTTTTAAAAGTCTAAAACCTATCCTCCGTGATTGTTAATCTTTCTAGCTTAACCTATATGTTTTCAAATATCTGAGGTAGTAAAAGCATACTAAAAAATCAGTTCACTTAGTAAATTAAACACATCCAAAGCAATCGAATCAAATATAAAATATTATTAAAAATTAAAAGAAATAATTTTTAAAACCATTTATGTAGGTGTTACAAAAATTGATTATATCCTCCGTGAATCTGTTTTTGCTTTAAATTTTATGCAACGGATGGCGCTTTAATAATTTTAAATAAGCAAAAACTCTGTTTACGACATTATAGATGCATGTGATTCTTGAAGGTTAGTTAGAATTTATATGCAGATGAGAGTGTTGCTGTTTTATAATTCAAAAGTTTAAGTTAATTAATTTTCTATTTAAAAACCTATCCACCGTGAAGTGTAATATCTCAGTAAGTAGATTTTTTTTATAAATATTTTATATAATATTGTATTTTTAAAAAATATTAAGGTGTCAAAAGATACAATAACTTATTTCAAATATACAAAGGGATGTTTTAAAAAAACATACGAAATCCTGACCTCCATGAAGCTATCTTCCGTGATGTTCTAATATTCAAAATGTATGATTTCTTAAAATTCTTGCATTAGTGTAGAACCACTTATGTTATGTTATTACTAGACCTGGTGGCTTCCCAAAAACCCCATTGTAGACTAACAGTGAAACAACCAAAAATAAAAAATAATCATTTTCACTTGGGGTATTCACCCAAATGTAAAAATTTAAAATATTGGTTTTTAAAAATCGTAGTTTTAATATTTTATTTGACAAAATTATTAATAATATATTGGTTTAAATTTGTAGTCATTTAAATGATGGTCGATAAATTTTTAATCCAATATTCAAATGTAATGTAAAAATGTTTGTTAAAAATTTATCGAATATAGTTTAAATGACTCCTTACAAATCGAAACCAATAATTTTATAGAATAAAATATTTGAACTAAAATTTTTTAAAATCAATATTTTTAAGCTTAAAATTTTACCATTACTCAATGGTTATACAGTTGTTTTTATATTTAAAATATTTTTTGACTATCAATTTATGTTAAAACATCATTAAAGTGCTAAACTTTAATCTTCAAACTATAGTTATATTATCTAATAAATGCTATTAATAATAACACAATATAACTAAGAAATGTTGATTCCTTAACAAGGGTAATCAACGAATTATTTATGTCAATCGCAATCATCGACAAAATTGCTACATTATCGAAGAATTTTTAAATGTTTACCATTGCTGCATGCCGATGTATAAAGGAAAAGAATGTCTTTAAACAACATTACAGACATTATTTCTTAATAATATTTTTTATCAAGCAGACATGATCTCGAATAGTATACGGCTTTTTTATAAAATTATAAAATTTTTAGTTTGAATTTTTCTTATAAAACTATTAATCCGCAAAATCCTTTGTACTCTGTTTGTTGTTCTTGTGACACATACCAAACCAAATTACACTCCACAAAAACCATGAAAACAAAATTAAAAATAAATCAATTTCCCAATCGAAATAACCTTACCCAATTTCAGCTTTTTCGGACATTAAAAACAATAGCTTTCACAATTGACAAATTACAGCAATTGTAGGGAATTGTACAACAGAAATAATACACAATATTTAATTATATTTTTTATTACTCGTACATTTACAAATATTTCCAATATAAACGTTAGATAACCGTTAAATACTTTATTAGCGGTTATTAGTATTAATTATCCCATATATAAGAAAATAAATAATTATCGAGTTATCGTTATGTTAAAATGCTTCGTAAACATATAAAATTGTATGTATTTATTATAGAATTTATAATTTGCATTTTTTATTCAGGTTTATATTATGAGTGAACAACAAATTTACAAAAAAAACTACATAACTGAATATTTTGTAGATTTGGTGAATTTTTATACTTACTGTTGCTGCTCTGACCTAATAAACGCTTCAATATCAAATTAAATCAAACCTTTAAAAATCTTATCATAAAAACATACCGATAACTCCAAAAAATGTTGACTCCTGACTCACTTAAAATGACTTGGTCAAAAATGACTAATAGTCATAGCGAAAAAGCAGCCAGTTATAATTCTCGGCAACAGCAATTTGTTTCCCGAACATTTAGCAGTCAATTCCTATGTAAAATTATCCGCTTAATCCAAAAATTTCGTTATAAAAGTAAAACAATTTTGATATAGTCAATTTTCCATATAATATGGAATTGACTATATCTCAAAAACTGATCTACTTTCATAATTTTTAAAAGGAACATTCGAAACCATTAATATTGATTTACTTATAATGAAATGAAACAAAATTGGTTTTACAGGAATGGCTTTAAATTGGTTTAAATCCTTTTTTGAAATCAAAAAATTTAATTTAAAAATAAATTCTCTGAACAAAAGAAACAAAAAATGGTGTTCCACAAGGGACTAAATTAGCAGCTATGTTATTTATTATTTATATGAATGACATTTCAAAAATTGTATTAAATTGTAAAATATGTTTGCCTACGACGCCATGTTATATATTGTAGGTAACAACATGGAAGAAATGAGAACAAATATAAATAATGATCTTCTGAAAATTTACTTCTGGCTTTGTGATAATAGCATTGACACTCAACGATAATAGTTTAAGTATTAATATTAAAACATCTAAAATAAAATTGACCTTTCTGAAAATTTACTTCTGGCTTTGTGATAATAGCATTGACACTCAACGATAATAGTTTAAGTATTAATATTAAAGCATCTAAAATAAAATTGACCTTAAGTATTTGGGAGTTATAATTGATAATCGATTAAATTTTTTAAGTCACTTTAAATATATTAAAATAAAATTTATAAAAAAATGCACTTTTTGAGAAGGATATGCAAAGAATTGAGTTTTAATGTAAAAATTACTTTCTAATACAAAAAAAACTGTTGCACAATATTCTATATGCTATTGGCTATTATAGAATATTATATATAGAATATTGTGCAACAATTTTTTTTTGGCTTAAATAAAAATGAACATGAATGTATAAACACTTCAAGTATTACAAAATAAAATAATGCCTATAAAACAACAGTATAATAAATATGCACCAATTAAATTAATGTTAAATGTACTTAATTTTATGCCAGTTTAACAAAAAATAACATTTAAAACACTAATCTTTGTTTTTAAAATATTGCATGATATGACTCCCAGATACTTAACTGAAAAAAATAGGCTAAATTGCACTGTAGATATTATTTTTTAAAGGGTTCATTTATATAATTAACTTCCAATTAATATTAAATACTGCGGTAACTTTTAAGTTTAAAAAAAATATTAAAATCTTATGTGATTAAAAAATTGTGATTTACACTCACAGGCAAAATAATCAATCCACACAAATTTTCGATGAATTTCAATCGCAAATAACTTTTTTATTTGATGTCGGATTTAAACGAATATTAAAGAATATTGTAGATAAATTAATGGACAATCGCTCATATTTTAAAAAATTACTAAAAAAATAGATGTACGTTTATAATATACAGGTTTAAACAAAAACATGTTTTTTACCATAAGTTTAAGACACTCTGTAGAGTGGCAAAACAGTATATTGTTCTAAATTAAGTTTTATTTATCAAGTCACATCTATTCTTAATAGTTTTGTTTTTGGTTTACCTCGATATATTTATTTTTGTGGAAAGTATGGGTTTTTTAAAAAAACATTGCAATTTTCAATATTTTCCTGTATGAAGAACTAAGGTTGCTATGGTCCATTCATAGCCTATGGAGGATGACAGTGACAGTGTTGAATCATCCCATACTTGGACATGTCATATACAGCTTTCAAAAGGTATCAAATTGTTTTTTGCAAATTAATGTTTAAATTTTGAGGTGTCTTCTTACTTTAAAAAATGGATATGTCTCCGAGCCATTAATTTAATCCAGGATGGACGGTCACAGTATTACGTGGCAAGTGTTTTAAACGTCACAAGAAGTAAAGTACAAAGGGCAACATCAGTCGGAGACATTTTTTAAAGTAAAAAGACCTCAAAATTAACACATTCATTTACAAAAAACAATTTGATAGCTTTTGAAAGCCTTATATGACATGTCCAAGTATGGGATGATTCAACAAAACTGTCACTGTCATCCTCCATAGGCTATGGATGGACTATAGCAACCTTAGTTCTTCATACAAAAAAATATTGAAAATTGCAATGTTTTTTTAAAAAATCCATATTTTCCACAAAAATAAATATATCAAGGTAAACCAAAAACAAAACTGTTTAAAATAGATGTGACTTGATAATTAAAACTTAATTTAGAACAATATACGGTTTTGCCACTCTACAGAGTGTCTTAAACTTATGGTAGAAAACATCTTTTTGTTTAAACCTGTCCAAAAATTTAATTTTGACAAGTCATTTTTTAAAATCAATTTACAAGTTCAAAATACATTTTTGTGAGAAGATATAAATCATTTTACAGAATATGAACATTATATTTTATAAAATAGTTAAAATATTCCCACAAAAATGAATTGAGAACTATAAAACTGATTTTTTGAAATATTTTGTCAAAATTTTGACTTTTCGACTTGTACTGTTCTTAACCCACCGATTCAGTTATAAGTGGCTGCTGTATCACTCTGAAAACCAGTCATACCTGACTAATTCAATTTAAGAGAGTAAATACTCAAAAATAATTATTCCTGTGTATTATTATTTTTAATATCTATAAAACATTTTATACTGACGATTCTATAGTGTCCTTAAACTCTGTGGCTGTCAACGCCAACACCTGTTCGCACACCCTTTTGTAGCACCACGAGTCGCCCTTTAGCCGCTTCCTCCTGATGCCCACGCACGGTTTTTCCTGCAGCTGATCAGCTGCAGGACGACGCGACGCGACGTCGTTTTTGAGCGTCGTTTTCTTCGGCGTTATGTCGTGCTGTTGCGATAATCGAGGGGCTGGCTTCAAGTTAGGCAGCAAGCAGATTTCCAGCTCGAAAGAGCAGCCCTTGAAACGCTGACTAGGCTCGAATTTACCCCTGATCCTGTACCTGAAATTAGAAATGCATGTGCTTTAGTCACATCTTTGACTATTTCTCAGAGTTAAAACTAACTAATTTCAATATTTATTGACAAATAAAATTGATTTTTATAAGATCGACTGATAGCCACATTGGTTATGACAACAGCTTGACAAGCTTGACAAGTGACAGACATGAGTTCAATTCCCGGCTGGGTCAAAACTTTTTTAAATTTAAATCTACTAATTTGACTTTTTCATTCAGTAGAATTTGACTAATTATTAGCTTTTTCGCTATGACAATTAGTCAAATATGACTTATAATTGTTATTTTTTACTAATTCATTTTAAGAAAGCATGGTACAAGAAATCATGGTAGGTTCTTGCGCATCTGTTTTCACCACTCCATGAGATTGGAGAAATTATTGACTATTTACATTTTGATGTGAATTATTTTTTAAGGCATTTTAAAGTGTAAAAAATGTCTACCTGCCAAGTGAAAATCTGTGAAAACAAAGCTGAAAGAAAAAACCTGGAAATCCAATACATTTCCTTAGTATGGGCTTGAAAAAATTGATGTCATGGATAGTAAGTAGATTTATTTTAAAAGCAATTAAATAGCAGTAGTTTTTTAGAGGTACTTTTCTTTTGTATACACAGATTATCTTTGACATATATCTAAATAAAAAAATTAGGTAAATATTTTTGTTTATTTTGTACCTTTAATTTGTTCCATTTACTTCGAAGATGGTTGCTAGAAGGAAAATTAGATCGAAAAACATAAAAACTACATTCCCATAAAAAATCTTTAAAAGTGGATACGGTTCCAACTTTACACTTAACAGCTGATCAATCAAAAGAGAAATCAAGTACTTTGTAAAAAAATCAAATTTGACATGACTCCGCAAACGTGAATTCTTTTGTTTCTTGTGTTGACATTTTACTGCTATTTTTTGATATTTCAACAAGGTATTTTTATCATGGTTTTATTTAGTTAATAAAAAGTGTAAAATGAGTAAAAGAAGTAGAAAGTTCGAGTGCGTAAATAACCCGGACAATCTGGGCGTCGTAAGTGATGAGCACGGAGAACGTTTTCACCAGCAAATGAAGGCTATGGAGCGGCGGTATCACGGCTTCTGGGTGATTACATTTGGTCTCTTATACGAGAACGGAATACGAAAGCAACAAAAAACAAAGAAGGAGACAGAATTTTTTTAAACCTATGCTTATTACAACTAAATAAAACTTTCAATATCTTCAATGTTCAATATTTAATATTTAATTTAATATTTAATTTAATTTCAATATTTAATGTTTAAAATAAAAATGTTTTATATTAAATTTTATATAATTCAATAAAATGAAGAAAAAACGTTAAAATTCTCGACAGCAGCTTATTTTTTTCCTAAGTATAATCTATACGTAAATAAATCAAACTGGACTTATCTTTTCGATTTATATCTTTCCCAGAAAGATATGTAAATTTTCGACCTTGATTTTTGTATAAAAAAGGACTTTTTTAACGTCATAAAATCGCCTGTATCGAACTACTGAGCAGATCCAAAACTATACAAGAGAAAGTTGTAGAGGGCTCAATTACCTTTGATTAAGTGCTAGTTTGGTCAAATCGATCAATTAGAACACGAAGTAAACTCTAAAACGTCAAAATTAAAAAAAAAATCGAAGTGAACCAAAATTCGTCTTACTGAAGACCATACATTGTTTTCTTGTACCATGTATCGTGCGAACTAAATACGAATGGCTAATGCATCTCATATCGTAATATTTATTAATAAAAATCCGAGAAGCAGTAGATTACAAAATATCTTGTTTGCTTTGCGGCACGATTTTTTCGCGTTTTTTCCGGCGATTAAGAGTCCAAACTAATTACGGATTAATTAAGATGTTTTTAGCTGCGGCCTTGTCCGAACCATTACTATAAACAATGTTCGACTGCTGCGGCAGAGTTCGTTTTCGCTCTTTTTTCCTTTCGGTATCTGGACGGACGGCTCTTGGGGGCATCGTGAAATAAATCTCGCGGCAAGCCGAGGAGACTCCTTTTTGTAGCGGCCGCTTAACGTGTTAATTGATGACCGATGCGAATAAATTCAGCCAGACTGAAGGCAGTTTTATAATGGAATGATTGAATTACTGGCTAAAACCATCATCGAAACACTGGTTTATTCTCTTAAAATTAAACAGTCAAAACAAAACAAATTATTGTTAGTTAAATGCATATACAGTAGTGGCCATAATTAGAGCAATCACTGTAAAAAAAATCTAACTCCAAAACGCCTTTAATAATCTTTAAGAAATTTTGGATAAAAATACTTCAACTTATATCTCAGTTTACGTGTTTGAGGGTTTTTTGAGAAAATATTTTTAAAGCCCACTTTTTTTAAATTAAAAAAACGTTCGAAAAATAACTTTTAGGGAATTTTTTTTCAAGTAAATAAAAAATATGCTGTTAAAGACCGTATTTTTGTTAGTATACCCTGAAAATTTTGTACAAATCAAATGAACAGTAACGAAGATACAGCGATTCAAAGTCGTCAAAAATGACCACTTTGCAGCAAAATAATCAAAAAGGGGGCATTTTTACCGACTTTGAAGCGATATCGCGATATACATATGTATCTTCGTTATACTGTTCATTTGATTTGTACAAAATTTTTAGAGTATACTAACAAAAATACGGTCTTTAACAGCATATTTTTATTTACTTGAAAAAAAATTTCCCTAAAAGTTATTTTTCAAACGTTCTTTTAATATTAAAAAAATGGGCTTTAAAAATATTTTCTCAAAAAACCCTCATGGCCGGTTTATCAATGTCCGGTTAAAGTTGCAGTTAGTTATCTGGCAGATAATCTCCATGGATACCATTGTTCTCACAACAATCGATATGAAATTTAACTGTCAGATAGGCTAACTGGAACTTAACCAGAGATTGATAAACCGGCCCTCAAACACGTAAACTGAAATATAAGTTTAAGTATTTTTATACAAGATTAATAAAGGCGTTTTGGAGTTAGATTTTTTTTACAGTGGTTGCTCTAATTATGGCCACTACTGTATGTAGGCTAGACTGGGCCAAAAAAATCGACTATTTTTTTTAAGTAAATCGAAAATATTGTTTGGGGTGACAAAAAAAAATTATGGTGAAAGTTTGAGTCCATAATATTAATTAAGAGGTCTATCATCGCAATTTTAGATTTTTTTTTCCTGAGCGAGTTTTTGTCTCAGAACTCCCAAATCATTGAGTTTAACAAAATTGAATTAAGAATATTTTTTGAAGAAAATTGAATGCTCTACAAAAAAGGTTTGATTAGAATTTCCCGTCAGATGAACCGTTTTCTTACAATCATGCCTTAAAAATTGGTATAGTTTTAAAATTTGATCTTTTAACTTTGGAATTTTGTAATTCAAGTAAAAATCAGTACCCTGAAAAAAAACGATAAATATTCTTGTGGGAAATCAAATGTTCTACAAAAATAGTATATTATGCCATAAGGAGTAGAAGTGACTCTTTTTGTGGTGAGTACAGAGATTGACGGCCGAAGCGTAGCTGAGGCTGGCAACTGTACGAAGCACAAAAAGAGCTTCACTCGAACATATACAATTTTTTTTTCAAGGGCGTAATATAAATAGGATAAGAAATAGAATTATTTTATCTACTCATAACTCATGTGGTATAAAATTTTGGCTAAAAGCATTAGAAAATATTGATAAAAACTAAAAAACTTTTAACCCTTACTTACAATGCCGATAAATATCCTAAACTAAAAATAAACACTGCTCTGTCAAAATGCTTGAATTAATTTTGACGTACTGACATTTGTTTGGAGTTCCGACATTGGCGACTCGTCTATCATCATATTATACTAATAAACTAGTTGTTCTTTATTTCGTTCAATTAAAATTTAATAAATAATTCCTAAATATTCCGTGCGATTATAATTAATATAATTAATACATCGTGATTGCTTTGTATAATATGCTAAATTAATTTTATTATTTGACGTCTATTGGGACACCTATGGATTTACTTCTATCCCTAGGCTTTTTTGAGTTTTTTGTCTCCCGCTAATGAAAAAGACGCACTTCAACTATCTTTATACAGGCATATAAGGTTGTATATCATGGCCGCTTGAAAAAAAAAGTCTTTTATCATTTTTGGCTAAATTCACCCTATCAAAAGTTATTCAAGGTTAAATTTGAAGTCACAACCTTGAATAACTTTTGAATGAGTAAATTTAGCCAAAAATGTTTAGAGGATTTGTTTGTAAAGCATTTGATTTCCCATAAGAATATTTATCGGTTTTTTATGGGTACTGATTTTTACATGAATTACAAAATTCCAATTTAAAAGATCAACATGTAAAACTATACCAATTTTTAAGGCATGGTTTTAAGGAAACGGTTCATCTGACGGAAAATTTCACTTTAACCTTTTTTGTAGAGCATTTAATTTTCTTAAAAAAATATTTTTGAGTCAATTTTGTTAAATTCAATGGTTTGGGAGTTTTAAGAAAAAACTTGCTGAGAAAAAAAAATTGCGATGATAGAACTCTTAATATTAATATTATGGACTCAAACTTTTTCAATATTTTTGTTTTGTCACCCCAAACCATATTTTTGATATACTTTTCAAAAAAAAATAGTTAATTTTTTTGGTCCAGTCTAATGTAGGCTCCATGGTTAAATGGCCCTTAAAAACAACAAGGATGCAAAAAGTTTAGCTTAAAACATCAACAAAAAAAGATATTAAGCTTTATAATATTTATAGACAAATAAAAGTAATTTTTATAAAAGTGACTGATGGCGCATTGGTTATGACATCCGCTTGACAAGAGACAAACCCGAGTTAAAACCCTGGCTGGGTCAATACTTCTTTAAATTTAAATCTTCTAATTTGTTTATTTCATTCAGTAGCTTAATGATAAAATCAAATGTCATTTAAATGTAGGAAGTGTCTAGGTATACTGTTTGTTGCGACGGATATTATATATTTGACGGCGCGACGATTTTTTA